AACTCTCCCTCTGCAAAGATGTATTTTCATGCTACGGTTTAAGGAAAAATCTAGTGCTCTTGGAGAACGTGCACGGGAGACAGGGGATTTAAATGTCTGTTTATGAGAGGAAACTCAGTGAATGGTTTCATTGCCACCACAATTTCCTTACTCCTTCCTCTTTAAGAAGCACTATCAACTACTTCTACTACAGAGCTTACATCTAAACATCTGAAGATACTATAGTCCTTTTCTTTTTAAAACAAAAAGAGTTTTTTCCACCTTTAAGACCGCCTTGTCACCTTAATGACATCTGGAGAAAGATAAAAAGAGACAAGAAGCCGAAGCCCTTTGAATGACACTATAGCTGTAATGAGAATTGGTGTGATGACGTTGGAGCACACTGCGTCCTCAAGGGGCGAACTTCCTCTGTGAACCATTATGAGAAATGTTCAACGATCATCCTCAGTGAAATATGATTCCAGTGCCAGCCTGATCATTCCTGTTTCTTGTCTGTCTCTGGGCTCACAGCTCACCATGGAGCATTAGCAGAAGAGATTTACGTTAATTACCTGCATTAGAGTGCTTCCTCTCCCCTACTATATGCTGCTTGTACCAATTAATGTCTCACTATAATTTACTAAATGGGAGTTTGGGTGTTCTTTCATAATTTATAATGATTCCCCTGCAGGAACCACGTTTTCTCTTGGTGCACAAAATAGCTTTCCTCCACAATCCAGTCCTACACTTGGTCTTCGAACATCAAAGGTCTGTGAGTGACAGAACCCTTTCCAAAATGTAGAGGCTACTTTTTTCAGCAAACTAAACTCAGAAAGACATGGTTTCTTTGTGCTCCAGAAATACATGAAAAATAGTTTCCATGCCAGTTAATATTCATAGAGCTTTCAGTCTTATTTCCCAGCTGGTCAGGAACCCTCTTTAAGATGGTCTTCTATCGCATGTCTCCATCAAGTTGTTTGCCCTCCACTGTCGTTTCTCCTTGTGTCTTAGACCATAAAACCCCAGACAGGAAACTTTCCACAAAATCCAAGGAAATTCCAATAAGAATGCAAATACATCTCCACAACACAAAGTTTCCATTCTCCATCATTTTCCCACATCTCCATTTTTAATGGATATAACTAAACAGCAAGGGAGGAGTCTTTCTGTCCAGAGAAGCACAGGGCTCCCGTGTTCTGCAGGCAGCAGAGCTCTTCACAGGTTTACAATTGGGCCATTCTTGCCAATCTAAGTCAGCAGCAAGCTGGAGTGACCAGAGCAGAGGGAGCACTGTTGGAAAAGGCTTTCGGAAAACTTAACTGGGGCTGGGGCATGGTTGGGGTGTGGAAGGACATGAGGCTGGGTAGCCCCAGATTCGAGGACGTACCTGGAAATGTTAATTCCAGCAACAGGGTTACAATGGCTAAACTTCTAATCTTAACAGCAATACCCAGATCTGGCTGAAGGTGATATCATTGCCAGTAAACACCTGTCCATCTATTTTCACAACTGGACAAGCCTCATCAAGTATTTCCAGGCCTAGCAATGTGTGCAACAGTATACATTTTAACGACATCACAAGATCATTTGGGTTCTCTTTCACCATTATTAATTCTACAATAACCAACACATTTCATACGGCATATCTTATAAATATCTCAAAGCACTTCACAATAAAATGATAATTAGTGCCCATTGTAAGCATCGCAGTTCATAAAAATGGCAATGAGATGTGCAAATGAAATTCATCTCTGTTAGAGACCTGAAATATGATTTCAGTTTGGTACAGTTTCACGGTTATAATTTTTCTCTTTCATTCCTATAATTATCCCTTCTTCTCCGGGGGAAATACACCACATACTCGTCCGTCCCTTCAGTTTGTAACTTTTAAATGATTAGATTTGGTATTTGACTCACTGGGATGCATTCGCAAGTGCGTGATACTGGAAATCAAAAGGGTTCATCGGCACTTAATTTGTTACACTGCCTGGCCTTGTTAAAGGAAACAGCTAGTGACATTTGGGCGGGTGACAAGCAGTGCCTGTGCGTTCCTCCACAGAACGAAGTGCTTGGACTGACCCAGCAAGCGCTGAGAGGATGGAACGCAGAGAAATGTCAGCCTGCAGGGAAACTAGATGCATTTGTGTTTTCCCCTGTGTAATTAATGAAGGCTGCTGCTTGCATCCCTGTGTATAATTGTGCAGTTTCCTTCCCACCCACTGACAGAAAAATAACTCCTACTGAGGGCAAATACAGGCAATCTTCCCAATGTATCTTTTTTCTCCTGTGTATATATAGTATGCCATAATTTGAAGAGAATTAACCCATTCAGGAGGGTTTGTTTAATTGTAGCTGTTATAATTGCTTATTAGTATTGTTATTGTATTTTATTTTGCTGCATCAACAACCAAAATAGAAAAAAACAGACATTCAGTACTGTATCTTTTTTCTCCAGTTTTGCTTTTCTATATATATGAAAACGGCATTTTCTGCCTAATAGCTTGTAATTTCACGCACATAGCTGTCTGAATGCATATAAGCAGGGTATCAGGCCCCCCGACAGAGCTTTAGTCATTGAACAGACTTGACTGGAAATGCATCACATTAGCAAATATTTCAAAATTCAAAGTAGTTTCCATTTGTCTTCAGTGAAGATCATTCACCAAATGCATTGATTGTAATTAGATGGCACATTATGAAAGCATTAAAGATTTTCTGCTTTGTCTGAGACATATTAGTTATCCCCATACAATATAAACATGTCAGAAGATGACAGTCCTTAAAAAATGAACTGAAAGGTAATGCCAGCTTGATCCAATTAAAGGTATTGATTAATAAACTCCTCCCGCAGAAGGTTCAGAAACTGCATGCTGCAATTAATACCTCTGCAGTGCATTTCATTAAACTTAAAATGTAAACAGGATATATTGAGTTTTAAATATATTTAGACAAACTAGCTAATGTGATTTCTTCAATCATATAACGTGCTTAAAGGCTATCAAAAGCAATCAAAAGGAATACCAGCAGCTGCGATTTGGATACGTGTGACGTTTCTTATAGACATTTTGTTTCTCTGTGTGTGATAAGTGTATGAAACTGTTATACAGCACAGATTGTTTTCTCAATGTCATATAAAAGGCACACAGGACTGTCTTCTCAAAAGTGGGTAAAAAAACACAATAATTGAAGTTAGTATGAAGGCATCTTAACAGAAAGTCCCAGAACCTTTCATTGTGCCAAACAAAGGCAGAAAGCAAAGTTACCCCTTGAACAAGAATGACTGATTGCGCTCTGCTTTTTCTGTTTCATTGTCTAAGTGAAAACAGGTATTTTCTTTGCTGTCATACAGCAGACAGGGGCAGCAATAATTAATATATGAGGATAACTGTCTATTTCACCACAGGGGTGTTAGTGCCATTATTTTTTTAAAGATGAAAACTACAAAATTATACTCAAATATCTTGAAAGAAAAAAGCTTTGATCAGGTCTTTATAAATATATCTGATGCAGCATGTCACCTGCTTCAGGCTTGGAGAGATGTCTATGAGTAGCACCTTAATTGTATCTATTCATTACTGGGCTGCTGCTTTTCCAGCTGACTGCATACTTCAATTGTTATGGTCCACTGTGATTTTTCCTACATTTTATAAACTGCTGTGCTGCATTTAAAAAATGTACTCTCTACTTTGTAACTTAGTATATACGCGTGACGGTACTCTCTTTATAATAAACTAAATTTCTCCCACTATCATTAAGTGGCCTTAGAAGAAATAATGATTTTTCATACTTACAAAATGTTACTTTCGTCCTAATAACTCTGTCTATGTAGTTGCAAGAATCATATATTTTGGACAAAGTAGAATTTGAAACCATTGTTTCTCTGGTGTCACCAGCGCAACACAATTTTCCATTAATGCTCGAGAGCTGATTAGTATAAAGTATTGCTTAGGAAGTTGTGTTTTTTTAACTGGAAGCCCTGTGGCGAGAGCTTTTGTACCAATGCTAAGAAGCATTTAATTTAAATTTACGCTGCTGACAGGGATGTTTCCTATGTTTCTGAATGCTGAGCACGACCACCCCCTGGTAAAGTACTTCTCTGACTGGTAACCCTGTTTCCAGATGACATGGTGTGAATCCTGTAGAAATGTAAATCTGTGTACACCCCTCCTCTGCACTGTTTATTCAGTTTCCAAAAGAATTTTACTTTGGCTAATGGCAGTTAATAAATGTTTCCAGCCGACAGCACCACTACTTAAAAATGGAAATCAGTTTAAGGAAGAACAATCCTGATTCAATTATACTTTAGACAGCAGGAGAGGAGAATCTGCGTATTAGAGAAGAATCTGGATGTCTACAAAAATACACCTGATGGATCAAGTTGTCGAGCCTGAGATTTTAAAGGCATGCCTTAATCTTACTTTTCATAATGAGAATTTTCACCAGAACTCAGCTGCTTTACATGTCTTAATGAGCTTAAAATCATATTTGCATCTTCACAGGAGGTGTTTTTTTTACTGTGCGAATCGCAAAATCAGTCATCTGTTATTAGCACAATTCATTCAATATTTTTCATATTGTAATAAATGCACAAGATTTTGTACATGACCATGCACCTCTGTGTGAAACAGACTTCTCATTCAGTCTGACTGAGCCAATGGGAGAGCAAGATGGGCACGTGTGTTAGCCCTCCAGACCACACTTCACTGGCCAGTCTCTATTAAACTCCACCCTGGTACAGCCTGGTGCTTCACCACCCCACTCAGGTGCAGTACTTGCCCATTCGGCGATCGCCAATGGAGCCTATTGTCTCTACTGTACTCTGAGCTGCCAAACCCAAGGGTACTGAGCTCACCCTCCAGTTCAGGGCACACTCCTTTAGCAAATATCCTCCCTCAGGGGTGCTTTTGGCTCTGCAGCAATAACTCACAGTTAGGAATTAGACAAGCAAGTTGAAGGAAAGATCACTTCAAGAAGCAGCAAGTTGTCAAAGAACCACCATGTGCTAGAATAGCCGTACTCACTGTTCAGCCAGGCAGCAGAGCACACTGGGTCCGCGGGACCTGTGCGCAGTCCAGTCCAGGTGTCTGTCGCTCCTCTTGCCACTGGAGAGCTTGTGCACCACAAGAGTAGATGTGTCTTTGGTTCCCACTTGGCCGCAGAAGGTCAGCACCACACCAGATAAATGCATCAGCTCACGGTCGCTAGCAGGAGCCCAGGTGCCGTTGCATTCCTGTTATCAACATACAGAATCTGAATTAGTGAGCTGCACCTCCCCAGTCCCAGCCAGAACTGAACAAGTCTCCAAGGTCCTGCAATGCCTCCTACAATACATCAGCTTCAACCAAACATGGGCAGCACACAGTACAAACTCTTGACAAAGGCAAACTCACAATTTGATTCTAAAGGAGCTATGATTGTATAAAGATGTTTTCATAAGTAATACTCTTATATTCTTGTAACTTCAGCAAGGACTAAGATAAGAGGTTCAATACTTTATTTGCATAGATTCTTTGTCTGGCATCACTATGAAAGTCACCACATAGTGAAGACCTGAATTATATTACTAAGGATCAGTAATAAAACACTGCAGATATGACCTGCATTTTCTTTTAGTTGTTTTTTTCTGCAATCACTGTGAGAGCAAGGCACTGAGGTACAGTGATCTTTCTCTATTTCATCGAAGTAAGCAACAACTGAAAGTGAAGCATAGCAATGCCTTGCTGACGTTCAGGACCTCAATGACTAACAAAAGGGCACTTTAACATGACCGAATTGCTTCAAGTCTATTGTGTTTTTTGATTTATATGTCAAATAGCAGGAGGTCCCCTCTCTTGAGATCAAACAGTTGGGCGGCAGAAAAAGATAGACTGTCTTTTCAAGGTCAGTGTGGGGGAGAGGATGAGCAATTCATTAGGGACAGAGATGTATCCAGCCACATCACCAGCTGGGATCAGACAGCAGCCCGTCCTTTAAAATTCCAAAGTTTAGCTTTAGATCCCTGTTTCCTCTCTTCTTCTAAGAAATGAAGGCTTAGGCTTTAAGAGGCGACAAGCAAATGAAGGGTCATCGCAAGATCATTCTGTCACAGTTTGGTTGCCTTTTTAGAAATGCAGCAGAGCTGTCTTATGGGCGTACGTGATGGGAGTCCTTCACCACCATAAGCTCCACATGCAGCACAATTCTGACTCTTTTTGTCAAACATTAAACAAATGTGAAGCATCAAATAGTAGGGGATATGGTTGCAGTTGGAACTGACAAGGAGTTTAGGATAGAGACCTCGACCTCTGATTGTCCAGTTGGAGACTGATATATGGGAACCTTAGCCAAGAGAATACTGAGTGATGATTCATAAAAGAAGTTCCTTGGTATTGTATACCAGTGTCATATGACAAGCTACCCAACCACGTCACTGAAGCCAGTTCCCCCGGATAAGATGCTTGGATCACCCAGCTTCTAGGGACCCGAGGCAGACGGGTCAAAGGACCATGGATCCTAAAAAGACAACTGTTTATCTTGGGAACCACTTTGAAATTTCTGCTCATTTCCACTGGAAGTTAAACCTTACTTCAGGCTCAATTTTGCGAGCTACGTTTTCTACAAAAGACGTGCGGGGGCTAAAGTTTAAGTTTAGGCCTGTATGCCTGATGACTAAGAAAGAAGGAGGCCTGATTCAATCAGGACTCGCCTCCTGCCTCCTGCACCTTGAGAACAAATAAGGTGTTATTAAAAGATATGACAGGATTTAGTTGGAGGTACTGTATGCTTGATTTGATCAATTCGGCCTGAAATCAATGCACCACACACATAACCTAAAAAATAATCATTGCAATAGCTACAGAACTTTGCACATAATATTTTTTCCAAGTGGATCATATCTACCCATTTGTGTGCCTGGGTGTCTTACAGTTCAATCTTCAACATATTTCATTTCTGCCTTGTGCAAAATTTAGAAACGGTATGCACAACTTGTATTCAAAGCTACCTCTTAACAGAAATACAGAAATATCAGGAATGGGTATGACAAGAGCCCACTGTTCTGTCTCTTTACTCATTCCTGTGGATCTCAGTTTGGTTAAGCCATAAGCCATTTTTAGGAGCAACCCCCTTGACCCTTAAGTTTAACCAGTTCAGCAGAGGGGGGGGAGTGAAGCTGCAGGATTAGCTCACACCTTGTCTGTGAGCCTTGTTGTGTCTGTGAGCTGTGCACTTGCTAACCTTGGCAGCTGGCAGGGAGGCTGTAACAGTATCGCGCCACAGAATGTGCTTTTTTGTCTGCAGACCCCAGAAATAAAATCAGCGCAACCACTGTGGTGTCATAATGAGCGCCTGCTGGTTTTTTTTGGGGGGGGGGTCAAAATCTTGGTTTTATTCACAATGCACCATCATTAAAGTAGTCAGACAAGTTAAAATGCCCCCCAACACATTATAAATTATGTTAGTGCCATTCGGCAACCCTCTACTTTGCTTTTGTCAAACAGCACATCTGATCTTCTTTTCTCTCCTAGCACACTTACAACGCCTCTGCTTATAGCACACTGTGCTTCAGAAGCCAGGAGACCTTGCATATAGCATAATGGGCTTTGATAACTCTTGTGGAAGGTCAGCTCTGTAACTGAAGCACAGACCAAGCGTCACATCCTCAAGCTAGGGCAGGAAGCATCTTCAGCTTTATTAGGATTAATGTGACGTTCACTGAGCAATACAGGGGATAAAAGAGAAAAAAAAGAGATAGGAAGCACACGAGAGGAGGCCTCACCCATCTACGTTAGTTCCTTTGATTGCTAGTACCAGATGTGTCCTGTCAGAAGTCAGAGAATCCGCTTCAGTGAGAAGGATGGGTCCAAGACTAAAAGGATTCGGGTCCTGTAGTCTTTTAGTGCAGGACATTCCATTAGTCCCAGAAACATGCCTGGTTGCTACTGAACTGATTCCAAAACAACAATATCTTAATTTGTAGCATGATGAACAAACCTTCACACAGTATTCTAAATGAGGTCTTAACACTACACTGTACAGTAAAATTACTGACATTCTTTTATTTGCATTCTAAACTTTTACCTATAAATCCTAACAATCTCCTTGCCTTTATGGTTGGTGCATTGTCTAGAGGAGGAAAATGATCAAAGTCAAAATAAATACCAAAGCCTTTATTACCAATAAAGATATTAGGTATTTGTACACTGTATTTGCACATGGGCAAATTGAGTGACATCAGCCAGGTGTGCTAGATGATGCGTTTGCCCAGTTCTGAATTCTGTCTAGGTGTTTTTGAATTTTCTTTGCTGCCTCGACAGTTTCCTGATTCTGCTAAACTGTGAAACTGATCTGTTTCCAAACTAGCAGAATCTAGATCAGGGGAGTCAAATATATAGCTCATGGGCTGGGTGCGACCCCTCAGGCTCAACCGTCTAGCCCGCGTGGCAGCTGCAGTCGAGAGTCCCTGACTCGCGCGCAGCCGCTGTCCATGGCGACGTTACTGTCCCAGTCTGGCGTACACAGTGCCCCCTGTGGTTGCCCACCCCCACACCATCGCAGTGTCCCTGTCTGATAATGTCACAGATCTAGTTCTTCAATGCAGACGCCACCTGGGCTCATGAACTGGGATCACGGGGCCTGAGAGCACCTCATCACCAGCGGCCCTCTGGCTCTGCCTGGCGTGCAGAGAGCGGTCCTCGCCGAACCCCTTCAGGACTGGTCACAGCCCCCGTCCTGCCAGCCAGCACTTGGGGAAGCAGTGCAGCCCACTTCACTGGGGAACTTTATTTTCTTTTCACAAATCAACACTAAACTCACTAAATAGAAATCTTTACAATAATATATACCTAAAACAGTATATATGAGCACATTCTTTAAGGATAATAAAAAGCAACAGTTACATAACAATAATTACTTTTTTCCTGGTGCGTCAGTTCACATCCTTTTGAATCACTCCCAAAAAAGACAAATGACTTTTTTTTTCTTTTACATGATAATCAATATCACAGGATTATGAGATTCAGTTCTTTGCCCTCAGATTTTCTGCTTCCTGCTTCCCTTCTGTCCCCAGGTGTCTGAAGTGATCGCTGGACAGGGCCAGGCTACCTGCTGCCTTGACTGGAACCTCAATGCCTCGGGGGGCCCCCATGTTCCTCGCCCTCCAGGGGGCAACCTTATGACCATGTACCACAATGACATTCCTGTCAAACATGTGGGAGGGCAGTTTGACTGGAGAGATGCCGTATATAAAGAAGGCAGCGGTCAGGGAAAGGTGAGGTGAAAGGGCCTGTAACCAGTCCTCCAACCGGGGACTTCTGTAGGAAAATGTGAGACCTGCAGCAACTGAACCACCTCACTGAAACTGGGCCTAGTGCCTCGTCTTCTTAATTTGAAAGGAAAGGAGGAGAAGCTGTCTGGACGCAGTAATTAGGGCCTTGCAATCATGTTACTGGAGAACAGAAACCATGATACGTGGCTCAGGAGAAGAGGAGAAATAAATGGAAAACATTCTTCATTTGTACAACAAGTACAAGTGTCTGTTTTTTTCGCTGTTTTTATACCACTGATATCTAGAAGGAAAGCACTACCTCATATTATCGGTGTTTCTGTGTCCCTAGCCTTCTGCGAATTATTTTAGTTGAAAACCAGAACTTCTCACTTACCACGACGGGGGCCGTGTCGGTGTTACCAGGCCTGCAGGGAGAGTTTACAAGGGACGACCGTCGTCGTAGCTCGAAACTCGTCAGTTTCGGTCCGGCGGTTTACCGACTGATACACACACGCCCACCCCTCAGCTTTCGAAGGCAAATTCTTTCCTCAAAAACTGTTCGACATTCGACATTTCGCACAACGAGAATGAAGTTTCCGTTACTTGTACGTGTCGGAGGTGCGGCCGGTGGCGCAGTTTCGCTCGACGGGGAGCGCGAGCCGCACGCGCCTCTGACGCTCGCCTCGCGCCCAGCGCTGTTCAGCGGGGAGCGGGGGGGCGGCGCGCGCAGCGCGTCACGCGTCACGCCGCGGGACCGGGTCTGCCCGCTCAGTTTCGGATGAGACACAGTTCTAGTATCGCGTCCAGAGCGGCCCAGCACCCTCGACAAGATACAGGATGTCCGCGTGGGTCCCCCAGCTGGGGATAAACGCCACGTTAGCAAGTCTCCAGTCGACGGGTAGAACCGTCCAGCTGTCCAAAGGGTCTGAACAGTGGTCTGCAAATAAAACCCCTTTCCTTTCCGTTAAAGCGACAGGTAGCCCCGCAGGTGCGCGCTTCCAGTACCTGTACCAGCTCTGCCTGCCCAGTGCTAGTACTGTTGGACACTTTGTCCCCTCGCCCTTAGGCGTCTTGCCGATGAAACAGCTCAGTACCGGAGCGTCTCGGCGCCCCGGCGGCCCGGCTCCAGCGGGAGAAGTGGATAGTTCAGCCCTTCACGGCGTATCACGTCACTTGTGTGTTTGGTTATTTTGTTCCCATTTTAACCACTGTAATTTGTGACCTCGAAAACAATCATTCTGTTAGTTCTACACTAAAACCACCGTTTCCGCGGGTATCGCTGTATCGCTGGTGGGTTGAGGGTTCGGGTAGACCCCGCTGCCCATCGTGCTGCTGTACCTGCAGTGAGGTGAACCTGCTGTACCTGCTGTGAGCTGTACCTGCAGTGAGGTG